AATTGGTGTACATCTCCTGTCATATGCTTTGAACATCCACTATCAAGATACCAAACATTTGAAGTGGATTTCAAGCATACCTACAAAAACAAATTATTTCTTGTTAGGTACCCAAGTTGCCTTGGGTCCTTCATAGTTAGTTCCCTTTTTCACCCATGCATAATGTCCACTAGCCATACTGAAATTTCTAATATAGCATGCATTTGGTGTGTGTCCAATAATACCACAGTAAAAACAGTTTGGAATAAATTTGCTCTTGTATCTAGGAATTTGTTTTCTTTTAGATACATTAGCCTTTTTCTTTTGATGATTATGAACAACTTGCTTCTTTTCTACTTTCTTGGGATTGGAACTATTACTAGCCTTTACAAAAACAGTGGGATTGTTACTTGGTTTCTTAGAATTCACATAACCAAGACCTCTTTTATCATTAGGATAACGTTGTTGGCTTAGTAATCCTTCCAATCCTATTTGTCCTTTTTCATATCGTTCAATGACTCTTTTCAATTGAACAATTTGAAAGACATTTGATTCACACTTGGAGCATGCAAAGTTTTCCTTTTCTTTTATAAAATTTTGTTTTTGAAGATCAAAATCTTTAGTCATGGTGTCAATTTTTTCTAGACAACTTAGAAGTTCTTTTTCTTGTTTTGACACCTTTTTGTATAAACTTTTGCATTCTTTCAAGAGTTCATCAATTGCACCTTGAACATCATCATCAAAAAGATTAAATTCATTACTAACCTCTTCTTCATTGTCGGAGTGATGCGATGCCATTAAGGCTAAGTTTGCACATTCGTCGCTTTCCGATTCCGATGAACTGCTCATATCATTATCTTCCCATGCTATGTAGGCTTTCTTTTGTTTTGAGTCCTTTCCTTTGAATCCATTTTTCTTTGGGAGATTTGGACAGTTTGGCTTGATGTGTCCTTGCTTTCCACATTCATAACATGAGACATCTTGAGTTGATGTGGAGGCTTCTCTTTTCTTGAAGTGCTTTCTCTTATGTGCATGAGATCCACCTTTGTCATTTCTGCCAAAAAACTTTCCAAGTCTTTTCACTAGAAGCATGAAATTTTCATCTTCTTCCGGATTGTCTTCTTTTACCACTTCTTTTGAATCAATTTTTAAGGCAATGTTTTTGGACTTCTTTTCTAGATTCTCATGTTTTTCAAGTCTACCGAGTTCCGTTTCGTATTCTTGAAGTTTGCCGAATAATGTAGCGGAAGTCATTGCGGAGAGACTCTTCTTTTCCGAGATTGCCGTTACCTTTGGTTGCCATTCCCTAGTCAATGATCTAAGGATTTTCAAGTTGAGTTCATCATTTGGCAAGGTTTTACCAAGAGCAATTAAGTGATTTGTCAAATGCACAAATCTCTTTTGTAAGTCAAGAATGGATTCTCCGGGCTGCATTCGAAATAGTTCATATTCTTGACTCAAGGTATTTAGCCTTGATCTTTTTACTTCAGCCGTTCCTTCATGAGTTTGAACCAAGGTATCCCAAATTTCCTTTGCTGTTGTGCAGTTTGAGACACGAAAAAATTCGTCCATACTGAGAGCACCTTGAAGAAGGTTTATTGCCTTTTTGTCATAGAGAACTTTCTTTTTATCATCGTCGTCCCATACAGTTTTGGGCTTTGCAGACCCAACGCCATTGATTACCGTTATTGGGATAAATGGACCATTTTCAACAGCATCCCATACTTCCTCTCCTTGTGCTTCTAAATGCGCCTTCATGCGTATTTTCCAAAAGTCAAAATATTCACCACAAAATAGAGGAGGCTTGTTGTTACTACCACCATCTCTGAAAACTGGTTGATGATTTGCGGAAGCCATTCTGGATCTCTAGGAGCAGGTTACCTATAACCTGCTCTGATACCAATTGTAAGATTAAGATTGCGCCTAAGAGGGGGGGTGAATTAGGTGATGGTCGATTTTTGACTTATTTTATACTTTCTGGTTTTGATTTAGTGTTATGAAAACTGTAAAGTGCAGAAAGTAAAGAGACACGGAGAATTATCCTGGTTCCTTCCACAACCCGGAAGTACGTCCAGTCCCCTTGCAAACACGCAAGAGATTTTACTATATTGTTAGAACTTTTACAAGACTCTTCCTAGTCTTATCCACTAAAGAACCTAACAAATAACCAAGAACACCCTCTTGGATTTCCAATAAGTCTAATGAGAACAATCCTCTCAAAAGATACCTCTTGTTTCCAACAATGGACAACAAGGAACAAAAGTAATCTAATACTTAATTCCAACAATCCTGGAAATAAGTTACACTTTGTATGTTTTTATGAAGTATGATTTCTTGAAGTTTCTTCTTTCTTCTCTTGTAAGTAATTCAAACTGTAACACAATGGTTAGATAATGCTCAAAGATTTCTGTTCTTTATATGTGTGAAAGTGCAGAAAATCTTTGTTCTTAAAAGTTAAGAAATATGAAGTTTGAATATTTTACAAAGTTCAGATTTTATTGCAAGAGAAGAGATGTTTTTGATTTGAAAATATTTTGCAATATATAGTAATCAAGATACCTTTCCAGAAGGACACTTTTCTGTTTGTAAAACTTGACAAGATGCAATGTTTGATCATGCAACTATTGGAGAAAAGGTGTGAAGGATATCTTGAAACCATTTCAGATTTTTCAAAATTTTCAATGTGCAAATCGATTAACATAACATGCAAATCGATTGCACGTGTTTGTAACGTTCAGAATTTCAAAAAGTTTGAAGTGTAAATCGATTAGCATGTTGTGTCAATCGATTTACATGTGTTAAAAAATCAGTTTGTTCTGTGATCAATCGATTTACACAACATGTCAATCGATTGCTGGCAGGAGCAAACAGTTTTTGAAAAAGCATGTGTAAATCGATTTACACAAGATGTTAATCGATTTACAGCAGAGAAAAACTTAAAAAATGTTTTGAAATATACTTGAAGTGATGTGGCAAGTGTGTATATCATTTTTGAGCATTTCTAATCAATGTAGTTTAATTGAGAATTGATATACTTGATTGCTTGCCAAGTTCCTTGAAGCTTTGAGTGAATGATGCTTTAAGATGATTTCCACTTCTTTTCCTTCTTTCCATAATGCTTGTTTGTCTTTCATCAAACTAGCTTGTTTGTCTTTCATCAAAACTAAAGTTGAGTTGAGGCTTGAGATTACACTTATATCTTTTATAATAATTTTAATTTACTCACCCTTTTCGCTTGGAAGTGTTGCCTTTATCCGTGGGTAACTTGTAGGTGATCAAGATTACTGCAGGGAAACTTAGAGGATAGTTTCAGACTGTGTTTATTTGATTTTTGTTGAATAAAGAGAGTTTTGCTCTGATATGTAACATCAAGATTGAGATCGATTGGTTGTGAACCATGCATTATTTTGTTATCTTGAGATTTTATATTACTTTCATGACTTTTGCCATGTTTCGGATTATGATGTTATAAACATGAAGTGTGATGATTTTGTTAACATTGATATATCTTTCATGGTATTGTGATTATTTTATGAAGGAGTTTAAGATTTTTATTTCCGCTGCGAAGTTCGAAATGAAATGGTTGTGAATACCGAAGATTCTATTAAATTTTAAAATATTACAACTCGTGTTACTGAGCAGGATTATTTGTTTTATGATGCTTACATGAAGATGTTGCATTTTTGCTATTGTTTATGTTTATTTATTTGGTAAAATATTCGTGATAAACGTGAAATTTAAAAAGGTGTTACAATTTCGTTCACTACGGTGAAAAATCAATAATGTTCCTAGAATTTGAAACTTGATTTTTAGACGCACACAAAATACAATTAATTTTGTATTTTTCTAATTTCGTCGAACACAAAAGTTAATTTTAGGATTTTTTTTTTGTATCCATAGTTTGTTTGATTTTTTTTGTTATGTCTCACGTTTTGACTTCTTTTTAACTATGATATGACTTTTTTGATTTAATTAAAGGTAAATTATTTGACAATCAAGAAAGATTCAGATGTGATAGAGTGACTCAGGATACTTTCATTGAGAGGAAAATATCTAGACCCCCACATTCAGTCATTGGTATCACTTCATTTTATGCAAAAACATTATCTTCCCGAATTCATGTGTTTTCGGCGTCGTATTTTCGAAAGCATGTACCCCATGCAGCTGCTCCAAAAGTACAATCTACTAAATTTATTGTTCTTGTTCTTGACGTTTTTCAAAAGGTCCTTCATACACTTCACTACATATTTTGCATAAAAAGTTTAAAATATAAAATTTATTAAAATGTATCAAATTTATAACAAACATGTGTTTAGTAAGAAAATTTACTATCCCAAGAGTTAATTAAAACTTAACATTCGGATTTTTCGCTAAGTTGTGAAATAAAACACACTTCATGAGCTTAAAATGTGTCAAGAAATTAATCTAAAAGGTAACTTTCAAACTCACAATACCATCAATCATTTGATAAAATGTAGGTAATTCGCGTACAAAATGTTTCAGTGTGTATTACAAGTGTCTGAAAATTAACTTCCAAATTATGCCAAAGACATTTTCAAGTTTTTTAAGAGTGAGCTCTTCGCCGCTAAGGCAACCCTCACCACACCTTATATCTAATTAATTTCATTGATATACTTATATTTTAATTTGTCAATTAATTTTATTAGTTGTATCTTAGAAGATATTTGACTTTTCTTTTACCTATCTCAAGTAATACAAATAAATGGTTATGATGTATTGCGATTAAACTCATCTAATTAGAATTTTTTTTTAAAAGACTCATCTAATTAGAATAGTGTAGGATTCCTTGCCGGTGACTTTTTTCTTCTCTATTAGAATCCAAACTCGTATACAAGTGAAGTGGTGTGCAGCATTCATTGATACAAAGTATGAGAAGAAAAAAATCCACAATACTTTTGTTAGTTTGTGATACAAGTTAATCAGATATCACTAATAGCCAACAGTTTCTTCATCTAGCTATTTTGTTTTCTCCTTTTTCCATAAAAGCAAACCTGATATTATTATAAATTGATAACTTCACCAATACTCTTATCAACTCCTCCTTCATGATCCTCAAATTTGGCTTCTCCATTTTCCAAACCAATATCCACCACTTTTGCATCAATATCACCTTCCTTGGAAGAACACTGTAAACAAAACCAAAACAAAGATTACAACCAAGTCTGTTCAAACAGTTATAGCACTACTAGTCTACTTCTAGCTTTTCTTTTTCACACGGCGAAAAAGGTAAAAACAGACTTTTGAACAACTAACCTCACCAATACTCTGATCGGCCCTTTTTACATGCTCCTCAATAGAATCTTCAACATGCTCCAAAGACACGGCTATATCTTCTGTTTTGCTGGAACCATCCTTTCCATCATCATTACCAGCAAAACTTTTCTTAAGGTTACCCTGCAATGATTCAAACTCTTTTACCCAACCAAAATCATTTATTACTAGGATGTTTTCGTAAGTTCTTCCAAACAGTCCTACAAGTGTTAATATCAGTAGATAAGTTTAAATTAGTCAATCCAAACAGGTACCTTACATGCTTAGTTTGGTCATGAATGTCTAGATTAGAAAATATAGCGAGTCGCCTGATTATCACAAATGAACCTCATAATGTCAACCCAAAAACTTAATTCATTGAGTTGTTTCAGCCTTACGAGTTCACGTGCAATGTTTTAAAAAAGGTTTGTTACCATGATATAGGCCGCGATAAAATGGTATCAGAAGCAACCGACACCATTTTTCTCTATTACAATAGAGCGGAAAAAATATCACATTGAATTGTTGTTACAGCCACGACGACATGCCATTATAGCTGTGAAAACACCATTACATATGTGACATAATGTCATTCATAGAAATAGACAGAATCCTGTTTTTAGCATATATCTAAACATAAATAAATTAGATATATCTATCTTCTTTTAACTCTTTCTCACTTCAAACTTGAGATTTGTTCTCTTATCTCATCTCTGGTTCTCTCTCTAGGCTTCATTGCTTCGTTCAGGTCATTTATTTTTGAACATTTTATCATAATGAAAAACATTTTAAATTAATTTATTATACAATATATTATAGTACAAACAAATTCAATAAGACTTATGCAATGTCGTGATTAATTAACATCGGGAGTCGGGACGACAGCAATACGCAATGCACCCTCCGTAATAGGCAAAACCGCATAATCCTTAACATGACTGCGAACTTGACCACAATCGTTATTTAAAACCTTGTTCGCATGTTGAGAGAGTCATAGCTTAATAATATGTTCATCACTTGACCTTACAACCAAGTTGTGTTTCTTACCTATCCATAGAACAAGGATTTCCTATGTAGAACAACATCCTAAGGTGGATTTCCTATCACAAGAAGGTGCTTTCAAATCAGATCATCGATATAGGCAAAAATATACTTATGCCTAGGTTCTCAAACACTAATCCTACTCTTGTTATCCTTTGATACATCTTAAAATTCTGACAATGCCAATCAAATGATCGGATAAATAGGTCCTCCATACTAAGAGCAAAAGAAATGTCTGGTCTAGTTAAAGTTAGATTATTGAGCATCCTTTTAATCCCTTGTATTTGCTTGGGTATAAGAATAATTCTCATGGGTTGGGAAGAAATTTAACAACTTAATCCACACGAGTTCAAAATTTAGCATTCCAAGTTCAAAATCTTACTCAAATATGATCACTTCTTGCTGCAACAATAATCATCTCTACATAAACCCACAAATTAGAAGAGTATTTATAAAATACTGATTGATCCTAATAGAGTATATATAGCTGTCAGTTTATACCAGCTTATTTGTATATTTGGTTTGTTTAGAGATTGTTAGGCTAAGCTAAGCTGGCAGTGACAGCTGTCACTGCAGCCTCTTATATAGCTATCTGTTGTAACAAACTCTTCAAGAGTTTCCATTGAATCAATAATAAACTCTCATTCTCTCTCTAAGTTCAGTTTATCTTTCTCTAATATATTATAAGCTTTCTGATCCAGCTCTACCATGGCTTCTCCTACGCCTTTGTCAACACCGTCGCAAGATGAAAACTCGTCTACGACACAACCTGCAACTTCCGCTCTGAAGAATGCGTTCAAAACGTTCGCACAGCAGATAAGCATCAAATTGGATAACAACAACTTCCTTTCATGGAAGCAGCAGGTTGAAGGAATCATTCGTATCCACAAGCTTCATCGGCATCTGGTAAATCCGGTGATTCCTCTGCGCTATCTCACGACGGCAGATCGTGATTCTGATTCGGAAAATCCTGCGTATCAACTTTGGCATCAAGAAGATTCTCTTCTCTTCACATGGCTCCTAACGACGCTCTCTGATGTCGTTCTTCCGCGTGTGTGCACGTGCATGAGGTTTGGACCGTCATCGATCAGTTTCAGCGAACTCAGATCTATGCGAAGTCGCGACAACTGCGCTACGAGCTTCGCAATATGGAGAAAGGTGATCGTACGATTTCACAATATCTAGGTCGTATTCAACAAATTGTTGATATCCTGGAATCGATTGGAGATCCGGTCTCACCGTGATCAGTTGGAGACGATTGTCGATGGTTTACCACCGGAGTATCAAGCCCTAGCTTCAATCATTCAGTATCGTGATGAACCGTGTGCTATTGTTGTTGCTGAAACGATGCTATTGTCTCATGAAGCAAGACTTGATCGTACTCCTCGTGCTACACCTCAAGATTCGCTCTCTATCAATCTTACTCAAGGTACGGTAACACCTGCTGCAAATTCCACTGTTTCTAGCGTGCCTGAGTCTACTCCGTCTGAATCTGCACCACAGTTTGAGCACTCTCGCAGTGGACGTGGTGGCAGATCCTCTCACTCTAGAGGAGGAGGTCGCAATGGTGGAAGGAATCGTGTTCAATGCCAGATTTGTGCTAAGACTGGTCATGATGCTAAAGTCTGTTACTACAGACTTGCAGTGCAACCTAACAATGCTAATCAATGGCGTGCTCCTATGGTGCCTATGCCTTCTCCCTGGTTTCAAGCTGCTCCACCTCAACAAGCTTCAAATCAGTGGATTGCACCACAATTTGTTCAGTAACGTGCACCTGCTGCTGCAGCTAGACCAGATAAGCAACCTCAGGCATACTTGACTGGTTCAGAGACAGGCACCAGTCAAACTGCAGCCTCTCCTTGGTATCCAGATTCAGGAGCCACTCATCATGTTACACACTCTGCAAAGAACTTTCTGGACAGTATTTCTACCTCTGGCACTGATCAAGTAATACTTGGCAATGGGCAAGGTTTGTCAATAACCTCTATTGGTAACACTTCCTTTCACTTACCACACAAGCCACATGTTACACTCACACTGAAGAATCTGTTGCTAGTGCCTAAGATCATAAAGAACCTTATCGCTGTTAGCCAGTTTGCTAGAGACAATCATGTTTACTTTGAATTCCATCCTGATACATGCCTTGTCAAATCTCAGGCTACTTCTGAAGTTGTGCTACAAGGATTTCTTGGCAAAGATGGACTCTACTCTTTTGGTTTTCTACAGGCTATAACTTCTCCTTCTATTAGGAATAATGCACCTGTTGTTCACATACTCACTAGCAACAATTCTCATTCCAGCAATTTAAGTTCTAATGCAAATAATAGTACCAATTGCTTAGGGCCTTCCTTATATGAGCAATGGCACAGAAGATTAGGACACCCTCATCATGAGGTTCTTAAGTTTGTTCTTTCAAAGTGTAATCTACCTATTCCTCAGCAATCTAAGTTTGATTTTTGTGTTGCATGTTGCTTGGGTAAAGTGCATAGATTACCATCCACTGCTTCTACTACTACTTATCATGCACCTTTTGATCTTATTTTTGCTGATGTTTGGGGGCCTGCACCTATGGTGTCTACTGCTGGATTTAAATATATGCTCACTTGTGTTGATGCACACACCAAATTCACCTGGATTTTTCTGCTCAAACTGAAGTCTGAGGTAACTTCAGTTTTCCTTAATTTCCTGGCATATATTCACACCCAGTTCAACTGCACAGTTAAAACTGTTCAAACTGATGGAGGAGGGGAATTTCAGCCTCTCACTCCATTCCTTATTAAGCAAGGCACCATACACAAGCTTACTTGCCCCCATACACACCGCCAGAATGTTTCTGTGGAGAGGAAACACAGGTATGTGGTAGAAACTGGCCTCACACTTCTTGCACATGCCTCACTTCCCTTGAAATTTTGGGATTATGCATTTCTGGCTGCCACATATCTCATCAACAGAATGCCTACTTCTGTCTTAGGCATGGATTCACCCTACAAAGTTTTCTATAATATTGATCCTGATTATAAATTTCTTAAAACTTTTGGGTGTGCTTGTTATCCACACCTTAGGCCCTATAATTCTAACAAATTTTCCTATCATTCCAAGGAATGCCTATTTTTAGGATAGTCTAACCAACATAAAGGGTACAAATGTTTGGCTGCTGATGGGAGGTTGTTTATTTCAAAGGATGTGATCTTCAATGAGATCAGGTTTCCCTATCAAGACTTGTTTCCTACCAATTCTGGCTCAGTTCCTCCTTCTTCTAATGTTACTGTTCCAATTCCATTAGCCTTTTCCTCTCCCTCTTTAACCACTCCACATATAACTCCTTCATCTTCCACTCTGCATCCTTCAGCAGAAAGTTCTTCTACCTCTACTTCAGTGCAGGAATCCACAGCATCTTCTCAACCTATCTCACCTTTTCTCCAGCAGCCCTCACCTTCTCTTTCCTCCTCTCATGATAATACTCTCCTTGCTTCTGAGGCTGCTAGTTCTTCCCAACCTACACCTATTTCTACTGCCCCTGACTCTCCTATCATTCCTATTCATCCCCTCAACACTCACTCTATGATTACTCGTGCCAAAGATGGGATTGTGCAGCCAAGACTACATCCTACTCTTCTCCTTACTGAGCTTGAACCCACTTCTTACAAAACTGCACTCAAGTATCCTAAGTGGCTTGAAGCCATGAAAGCTGAACATACAGCCTTGCTCAATAATCAGACCTGGACCCTTACTCCTCTTCCTCCCAACAGAAAAGCTATTGGGTGCAGATGGGTTTTCAGGATCAAACAAAACCCTGATGGCACTGTTCAAAAGTACAAGGCCAGACTGGTGGCCAAGGGTTTTCATCAGGTTCATGGCTTTGATTTTCAGGAGACTTTTTCACCTGTGGTGAAACCAGTCACAGTCAGAATTACTCTCACTCTGGCTATCTCTAGGCAGTGGCAAATTACTCAGTTGGATGTTAATAATGCCTTTTTGAATGGCACTTTAACTGAAGAAGTTTATATGCAGAAGCCCCCTGGCTTCACCAGTTCTGATTCTCATCTGGTGTGTAAGCTAAACAAGGCTATTTATGGCTTAAAACAAGCCCCTAGGGCCTGGTTTGAGAAACTCACTTCAACTCTGCACAGTTTTGGCTTTGTCACCAGCAAATGTGACCCTTCTTTATTCACCTTAACCACATCTTCATGCACTATCTTTATGCTAGTCTATGTTGATGACATTATTGTCACAGGCAACTCTCCCACTCATATTCAAAAACTGGTGAATCAACTGCATTCTCAGTTCTCCTTAAAGCAGTTGGGTTCTCTTCACTACTTCCTAGGTATTGAAGTCACTCAACTCTCCAATGAGACTCTTTTCCTTTCTCAAACCAAGTATATCAAGGATCTTTTGGTTAAAACTAACATGAGTGAAGCCAAGAGCCTTCCCACTCCCATGGTTTCTAATCTCAAATTAACCAAACATGGTTCAGACTACCTGCCAGATCCTACCTATTACAGGTCAGTTGTAGGAGCATTGCAATATGCTACCATCACAAGACCTGAAATTAGTTTTGCAGTTAACAAGGCATGCCAGTTCTTATCTCAGCCTATGCAAAGTCAGGGGTACTCTTCATCATGGTCTGCACTTTCTGCCTGCAAATCCCCTCAAACCTATGCCTGTCACTGCCTTTTCTGATGCTGATTGGGGTTCAGATCCTGATGACAGGAAATCAACATCAGGATCATGTATTTACCTAGGCCCTAATCTTGTTTCATGGTGGTCTAAAAAGCAGACTCTTGTGGCAAGATCCAGCACTGAGGCTGAGTACAGGAGCCTAGCTAGCACTGCCTCTGAAGTGCTTTGGGTTCAATCTCTACTTTCTGAGTTACAGGTTCAAACATTACCTCCCACTCTCTACTGTGATAACTTGAGTACAGTGGCCTTATCTCATAACCCTGTACTTCATGTCAAAACCAAACATATGGAATTTGATATCTTCTTTCTTAGAGAGAAGGTTCTTAATAAAACCTTCTGTCTGAAGCATATCCCTGCTGAATTTCGAAATGCAGACATCTTAACTAAACCCCTCTCTGCACTCAGATTTCTTGCTCTCAGGGACAACCTAAGGGTTATTGACAAAACTTCTGTTGCAATGGTCATTCTCAAGAAGGCAGCACCATTTGAAGGGGAAATGATAGAGTATATATAGCTGTTAGTTTATATCAGCTTATTTGTATATTTGGTTTGTTTAGAGATTGTTAGGCTAAGCTGAGCTGGCAGTGACAGCTGTCACTGCAGCCTCTTATATAGCTATATGTTGTAACAAACTCTTCAAGAGTTTCCATTGAGTCAATAATAAACTCTCATTCTCTCTTTATGTTCAGTTTATCTTTCTCTAATAGATCCAATTCACTCTGAATCAATCCAAACGGGGTGTTCATGGGTTATGGTCTGACCTAATCATATCGAAAATCCAACCCAAACTGATTTAATTGGTTCACTATATTTCGTGGTTCAAACCATAATGTGCAAACCCGCACTTGTTTGTTGCAGGAAACATATTTTCATTTTCGAACCTGTCAAGTTGTGAATACAACCCATCTAAATAAGTTCAATGTATTTCATTAACACACTCATCGACTCATAGTTCAAGTGTGTGACCAGACTCCAGACCCAAATGCCCCATTTACAGTTTCTTTTCCCTTTCCACCACCCTCCAACAATCCATTTTTTTGTAGTGTCAATCTCTGTTGTGCACTTGCCACAGCTACTGCCATCAACATCCATCCTTTTCTGGCATCAATGTTCAACCACTTCAAAATTAAACTGTGCATGTAGCGCTGACACTTTAGATTGAAGGTGTGTCAAGTGCTAGGTTGTCAATAGCATGCTAGAACGGCATAGCGTGGCGACATGGCCCCTCACCACCACGCAACCGGCCTGCGAAGCGCTATCGTCGATAGCGGCCGCGGGAATAGCAATTTTGTAGCCTAATACTTTTATATTGATCTCAATGTGGAGCAAATTTGTAAATCCTAATATTTCTTTAAGGGTCTGTTTGGGAGTTGGTTTTTGGAGGGAAATGCTTTGGAGGGTTGCGCCTACAACTTTAAAATGGGTTTGATAGTTTTAAAAAGTTTAAAAAATATCAAACACATTTTAAAATATAGACGCAATTCTCCAAAATCCTACAAAAACCAACTCCCAAACAGGCACGAAGGGTATATTTATCTTTCCCACCATTTTTTTATTGACCTAATATTTAACCCCACGTTTGCTTCTTCAGTTCCACAATTGTTTTTAATTTTCTTCATTGTTCTCCCCTGCCTTTGTCGTGTGTTCAATTTCTCCTTGCTCTATTTCTCTTCAAAGTTTAGTAACTTAATATTGAACTCTCTTGCTCTGTTTCTCCTCTCTTCTTTCTCATATAGAGTGCATTAATTGCACTCATTTAACTGATCCTATTCTTCGTAACAATATTGAATGTTATAAATGGTTGCAATAAAATGAGAGTGAAAATGAAATACTAGAAAACGATATAGTTTTGGGAAGTTGTTGGTAATGCAGTTGGGTAATGAATCAGCAAGAGTTACTAGACATCAATCTAGACTTGCTACAACAGTGTCTAATGGAGTGAAAATGAGCATTACGCATTAACATTACCTCCGTTGAACATCGAAGAGGCTCCCCAGTAATAACAATAGTTGGAAGGCGATGAATATCCCAACCCAAAACCTTACACACAGCCTGTCCAAAAGCCCTGTGAGCCTTTTTATTAGCAGTCCTCAAAATTGAAATGGAATGCTGAACAAGACCAATACAGTCCTTATACTTGTTCCCAGCATCGCAAACCAAACAGCAAAACTCTCCATCCTCGAAACATCTCTGGTAATAACCAGTCAGTTCACTGTCTTCCATGAAAACCCTAATGAAAAACTTTTCAAATTCTACCAACCTATCATCATCCTCTTCTTCTTCATCGTCGTCGGAACCAGAACTACTCAGAAATTCCCTGAGAGCTTTGCAAGCCTTGTTCTGTGCTTGTAACACAGAGAGTCTCTCTTTCTCCTGAGGTTGAAGAGGAGGAGGAGGAGGATCCGATCGGGGCTTCGGTTCGGGCCAACCCGTTTGCGGCGAGTCGGATGAAATGGGACACGGCCATTCTTTTGAATCGGGTTTCGGTCCTATCTTCCTGATATGGTTTTGGTTTTCTTGAAGGGAGGGAGGGATCTGGTGTGGGAGGGTGCAAATGGATAACGATGGAGAAGAGGTTGAGGAGGAGGGCCTTGGTGCCAAAGAGAATGTAGATAGATCACTTCGTCTCTAATCCTCTGTTGCTCGTATGGATTCATCTTTGCGTTTTCTTCTCCCAACTATCATTTCTTCATTTCTTCATTTCTTTATTTTTTTTATTTTTTTTTATACATGATTTTTTCCCTTACTTATTCTCATCTTAAACCCAACATTTCTATAAAAGTAAAATTGCTCATAGGAAATATCGAACTCGAATCAAACACATTTCTGAAAAACAAGATTTTGCTTTTATCAACCCGGTTCGAATCACAAAAATTTATGACTCGAATCATAGAGGTTTAATTTGAATCGCAAACATGTTTGACTCAAATCAAATTTAGAATACGATTTTGAATTTTGGTTCCATGAATCTAATTTGAATCATAAAAAAGTTGATTCAAATCAAATGAGCAATTTTTCTTGGTTTTTAGATCTTGATTCAAATCATTCACTTTTTTTACTCGTCTCACACTTCTTGCTTGTGACTCGAATAAAATATCATTTTTCTCTCAGTTTTGTTCTAGATCTCCAACACATATATAAATCTTTTTCTCAAATCCCTTACATTATGCTCATAACATAGATTTCCACTTTATGATTTAGAACTCACAACATACATTTTCTCTGAACTTTCAAAAAGGATTTTGAATCTTATTTTATGTTTTTCAATCGAAATCTCTTCATCTTCATCCTCTTGCATCATCCATTGTTATTTGGATTAAGTTTTCATCTCATGGCGTGAGATCTGTTAGAATGATCATTTTGTGGTTAAAGTTTTGTGAAGATTTCTTGAAGATTTTGTGGGTTGGCATCTATATGTGGTGTTGTGTCTTGGATCACTTTGGTAGAGTTGTGTGGAAGCCTACATACAAAGTTGGAGTTCTTCTTATCTTTAGACAATTCAAGGCTTGAGGGACCAGTATGGCAGACTAAAGGTCGTTGCAGGGAAGCTTGGAGTAGCATTCTTGAAGCTGAAAGATTCAAGTCAAAGTCGAGTAAATATTTTTCAAAGATCTAGTGTCAGAAATTGTATACAGTCAAAGAGGATTTGAATCCTAGATCTTCTTTTCAATATTATTCAAATTGTGATTGTATTAAACAACTTTATGTAAATTTGTCAAAGTCATAGTCGGAGAACAACAAAATTTCAATGGTCAACCATTGAAGAGTGTGTTGGGTGAAAATATGGAATATGAACATTCTAGAGGAAACTGAATAGACCATTTAAAAAAAAACTTCAATTGCTTTTCCAAAATTAGAATATCAGAGGTTTTTCAAAATTGTGTGTGAAAGGTTTGAAACAAAAATATGAAGATTGTAATTTTATTGGAATTTTGATCACGTCGACAAATACACAATTCACAAAGCTCTCATATTGTTCAACAATGAATAATTGAACGATTA